TTCTAACAGTTCTGTTTCCAATTTTGATTTTTCCACCTGGAAGCCAATTTTCTTATCCAAATTATATGCCTCCATTATCTGATAATAATGAAGCCAATAGGCTTTTGCATAGTCAATGAAGCAGAAGAAGATGTCTTTCTGGAACTCTCTAGCTTTCTCAATAATGCAGCGCATGTTTGCAATTTGGTCTCTGGTTCCTCTGCCCCTTCGAAATCCAGCTTGCACTTCTGGGAGTTCTCGGTCCACATACTGCTTAAGCACCTACTAGGTAAGAACCTACTAGGTAATAGATAAATAGATCCCTGAGCCCAAGTGGTGCAGATAGGGCTGTGGGTGACTATGGCTTTGGCCATGGTGGTATTTTTACTGCCTCTGGCCGTCAGCGTGCCCACACCCCTTCAGGTGACCAAGCAGCTAATGTGGGAGTGGGGTGCCCACAACACGAATAATAAATGGCTGAAATGGGGGCTTATTCTGCAAACCGAACCAATTGCACGGTCTGCACTCTGGGACCTACAGATGCTTTGGGAGGAATGCCCCTCCTCCCTGTGCCTTGGAATGAGTCCTCAGTTACGGCCCCAATTTTTGGCTTCCGCCCTCTGGGAAACAATTATTTTTTATGGAACCATTCTATCCCTTTCCAGGTTCACCAAATTACTGGATGGCTGTGTGCGAACCAGTCTGAGGGCGCCAGTAACAATCTGACGTATGTGGGGACCTCCCGTTGCAATCGCACCTTCCCAGCCCAGACAACCGTGACTGAGTCCGCACTAGGAACTCTGAAGGAGATTTATTGCTCAGATAAGTCTGGCGTCCGGCCCGCTTTCGCTGCGTAGCTACTGGCCAGGCCTCTGCATTCCAAACTCCACATTCCGATGCTCTGAGCAAAAGCAGAGATCAGCAGCGGTAAGAGAAAGCTGCAAAACTCCAGTGCATTCTTCAGTGTGCTTAAATAAAGTCCACTCAGGATATTAGCAGCTAGAAGCAGTTTTTATTTACAGCAGACTATCCATTGTCGAACAGTCCTCTCTCCTCAAAAGCGAAAGTAGAGAGAAAGAACAAAGGCTGGAGGCTCTCGGATATGACGCAGAAGTTCCCCCCTCCCAACAGCAGGCAGGGCGTACACTCTGAGCTGTTTAACCCTGTAAGCTCAGGTTCTCCTCACAGGAACTCTTTCTGGCTGTAATCTAACTACGTGCCTGACGCACTTGGCAAGGGCTTCAGAAGGGGGAGGTAGTGTCTCTGCTCAAGGACATGATGTGTATTGGGTGTGTGGAAAGCTGGCTTATCATATCCTGCCAAAGGGATGGTATGGAGTGTGCTTCCCAGCCTCTTTAATTCCTCCCATGTGGATTTATGAGCCGATTGCCACTGCACCCCGTAGGAGGAGGCGCTCGGTTGACCTAGTAGCATTTGCAGGAGGCAGCTCCCAAAATTGGGGTAAGGATCAGTGGCCTCCAGAAATCACCCATTACGATCCAGCCTCATGGAATCGGGGAGAAAAAATCACAGGGGCAAGGGGGCCAATTTATAATTTAAACCGCATAATAAGACTCCAAGCGGTAGTAGAGATTGTCGCCAATGCCACAACCACAGCCCTCCGGTTAATCGCCACCCAATTAGATGAGCCGCACACAGCAGTCCTTCAGCTCCGCTTTGGGCTGGACTTTCTCTTGGCGCGACAGGGCGGATTTTGTGTTGCGTTAAATTTGACAGGAGGGGCCTGTTGCTTTAACATCTCTGACCATGGTGAAGTTATTCGAAATTTGGCAGCAGAAATTGAAAAAGTGGCCCATGTCCCTGTCCCTACTTGGAACGGATGGGACATGTTCTGGTGGACTGATTGACTTCCAAACCTAGAGGACTTTTAATGATGTTACTAGGCCCATTGATAATTTTGCTTCTTTTCTGCTCCTGTGTACCTTGCTTCTTAATATCAGCCAGTGCCTCCATGGGGCGGAAGGCTGTCCAAAATAAAAGGGGGGGGAATGAAGGGACAGGATACCCAAATCCTGACTGTGTGGTCACCCCAATTAGTGTGTAGTCACCCCAACTAGGCCTCAAGACTTCCCTAGGCCTCAAGACTTCCCAAATTCTTTCTTTGAGGATGCAAACCTAAAATGCATTAGCTCTGCTGTATAACACAAAGCTTAACACAAAGTAGCTGAAAGGAACAAAGCTTTCTCCTCTTCTCAGTAAAAGATGACCTGGCCGCCAGCAGCGCATCCAGCTGATCAGCCTTCTCGCAACTTTCTTGGCTCGCTGACAGGAGCAATGCACACCCGACCCGTGGGAAAGGCCTGAAAGGCTACAACCCAATGCAAAAACCCTGAGGATCCATGTGGATCTGTGCTTTGTAACCACGTTTTTGCCGCATTGCGGCCCCACAGAACAGTGGGTGCGTGATTTTTGGGGTGCAGGCTGTAGTCACGGACATGCTATGTGATCTGGTGGTGAATTTGGGGTGACCCAATGCTAAAATCCTGAGGATCCATGGGCTTTTACCTCCCCCCTCCCAGGCAGCCTCCGCTAGCGTCCCTTATCTCGCTCCCGATCGCTTGCCGATCAGCGGCTTTGTTTCAACACCCCCTTCCCTCTTTCAAAAAAAGAAGCATGATCTGCTTTTTGCCCCTGGGCAATTCGGCTCCAGGGACCACACATTCGCTCCGTAAGACGCACAGACATTTCCCCTTACTTTTTAGGAAGAAAAAAGTGCGTCTTATGGAGCGAAAAATACGGTAAGTGGAAATCAGTCTTCCCCTCCTCCCCCCCCTTCCTTAAAACCCTGCTCTTCCTGGCTGGGGTCTCTTTCCTCTCTCTCCCCACCCCCAGCCAACCCACCTCCCCATTCCTGGGTTATGGGTTCGAGCCCCACGCTGAGCCAAATATTCCGGCATTGCACGGGGGGGGGGTGTAGACTAATGACCCACCCCTTCCAGCTCTGCTATTCTATTATTGTATATATGGGCAACTTATGAACACTGATAGGATTGTAGAGCTGGAAGGGAACCCGGGGGGTCATCTAGTCCAACCCCCCCCCCGCAATGCAGGATCTAGTCGGAAGAATCAGGAGCCAGGAAGAATCAAATTTCAATAAAGAATGGGGAGAGTTTAAAATGCATTTGAAAAAAATTATTGTAAACAACAACAATCCCTCGTAGGTTTGACCGAAAACATGTAGTAAATATTCGAATCATGGATTGGAGTAAGGACTTATAATAACTGGAGTCAGTGAGGAGATGCAGAACAAAAATTATAACCTAAGGATCCACAAAGGGGGGCGGGGAGAGTCAAAGGAAATATGATGTTTGCATTTTGATTCTTTGTAAAATTGAAAATGAAAAAATGAAAAAGAGGAACCTTTGGCCCAGCATGGGCTCGAACCCGCGACCTTGAGATTAAGAGTTTCCTGCCATACCCTCCAAATGTCTTGATTTTCCAGGGACAGTCCCAGAATTTCGAAGGCCCTCCATGCGTCTGATGTTTATTTGTGGATTTTAATTGTGGGTGTTCATGTTTTCATTGGATTGTTTTGATTTTTTGATATATATTTTTTGTAAACCACTGTTTTACCTTCCTAATGTGCCATTAGATTATAAACTACGTCTTATACAACCAAAAATAATATTGGGCTCCGATACAGCAGTATAGAAAGGGATGATCTACAAGGACGTCTTGCTGGAGGTGCCAAAACGAGAATGCCTCTTTGAAGCGTCTGCTTATGCAATGTCTGAGGCTTACAGATTTCTGGAGGAAAGTATTTGGATATATAAATGCTAATTTGTAGAGAGGCTGCCCTGCCCTGAGGCAGGAAGCAATGTCGTTGCCAGAGAAAGGTTTGCGTAATTTCTACCTTTGCCCCCCCCCCCCAGGGTCAGGTCATATTGGACCTCACTGCCCTGCCTGGCAGGAGACGGAGGAGGAGGAGGGGGCAACCTTTGAACTGCACCCAACACCCCCACCCACAGGGTGCTTCAGAAACCCTGTGATTTCTCACCCTGTCTTTCTTCCAGGGGCACCTAAAGGCCATCAGGAGGAGCTGCGCTTGGTCCCTTTGAAAGGAAGGCAGCTGCAACTGCGGATCCTCAGAGCACTCTTCACCTGCTCAGAGGCACCCCTTCTTCCCTAGAGCTACAGTGCCACCAAAGCTGCGATTCCTGCCTTGCAAGGGGTTGGGCTGGATGACCCCTGGGGGTCCCTTCCAACTATACCACTTTATGGTTCTACCCTAAGTCCCACTGTTTTTGAAACGCATCTGTTGTTTTGAAAACGGTTCTTCCCTGCTTTTTATTGCATTTTATGCTGCTCTGAGCACGGCTTTGGCTGGGGAGGGTGGGAAATAAATAAAATTTGAGGATGATGATGATGGTCTCCTTGAGAGCAGCTTCCTCCGTTCTCCGTGGTTTGGAGAAGGGAGGCAGGCAGATGGGGCAATTGATCCTGGCACCCCAACCTTTGTCTTGTGGGCCAAGAGGGCGGGGCAGCCCTGGGATGAGGGCCAAGGGGAGGGAGCCGAGGGCCAGCCAGGCAGGTTCCAGGCAGGGCTGGGAGTCAAAAGAAAGGAATTTGACGCGCCTTGTCTCCTTTCGGAGGAGAGCTCAGCCAGGTCCCCTTTGCCTCCCCTGGGTGACAGCAGCGTCCTTATTGCAGGCCTACCTGGGGACCAAAGTGCAGGCGGCAGAGAGAGAGAGACTTGTGCATTGCAGCCGCGGGCAAGACAACGTCTTCTCCTGGACAAGTGAGCATCTTTCCTCCTCCTCCTCCTGCCCCACATGCTGCCCCCTTCCTGAGGGCATGGCTGAAGGGGAGCAGCAGGGCTTTGGGATGCAGGTCAGAGGCCACCTGTGCTGAACACACCTGCGTCTTCACGCTCTCCCTTCTGCCAAGGCAGGGGCCCCTCCTGGCTGCAGTCCTGCTGCAGATCCCCCCCCAACTCCTCCCCTCTGGAATTTCTCCCCAGGATCTCTTCCTCTTCCTCTTCCTGAGACCAAGGTCAGAAGATGGCGCTGCAGAAGCACCTGGAGGCTCTTAGCGTCTTCCAGTGGGTCCTCACCTACCTCTTCTTTGGTAAGTTGGGTGGGTGGGAGAGGGGCAGGGGGTGCTCAGGGAAGAGGGGCAGCTTGGCCTCCTCCTCTTCCTGGGGCCATGGCCCTTGGGAGCTCCTCTGGCAGGCCAGGCCCCTGTAATAAACTTAAATCTTCCCTTATTTCCTTATGGGGGACACAAGAGCCCTTAGAGAGTCCTTTGCAGGTTCTCCATCGGTCAGAGAAAAGAACAGAGGCCAACCAGAGAATATTGAGAAGCAAAGCAGCTAGTAAGCCTGACCTTTATTGAACTGTTGCAACAGGGTGCCCCCTTCACACGCAGGAGGAGGAGGACCCCGAACCAAGGTGTGCCTGCCTTTATATAGACATTTTAAATTGGCCGCCCTGGAGTCCAAGACCACCCCCAGATACATCATGCCTACATCGCAGAAAGGGCGGTCTACAGCAGAAATCTGAGTGCGTTGTTTACCTCCTGTCTGGCAGGTTACCTGTTAATGCTCACTTGATTGGATACCCTGGGGAGCCTGGCCAGTCTTTTGTGGTGACAAATGCTTAGTTCCTGGGCCAGGTCACAGGCTCACACCCTATTCAAACACAGACATACCCTTAAGACAGGATTTGTGAAGGAAAAGACAATGGGGAGGTTTTTCCATTTTTCTTTAACCTTGCAGAGAAATCGTTTGGTCAGTTTGGGGGTCAAAATGGTGCCAGGGATGTTTTCCTGTGCTGCTTCAGACATGTGGTTTATATATTTATGTACGTGTTTGATTGGTACATTTATGAACATTTATTATATATATAAGACCTTAATTTTTTTTATTTCACATCCTTCCCCCAAAAGCCAAACCCCCTCTTCTTTTCAAAGCACCTTTCCGCCAGGTGAGTCTGGACTAGGGAGTCAGCACCGCAGGGGGTTGGGCTAGATGGCCCTGGGGTGCCCCTTCCAACCTAAAATGTTCTTCTGGGTTTAGGGGGGCTTCAGATCAAACCCTCGGGGGTCCCGTGAAATCGGGGTTGTGGTCCCAGGCAGGGCCTCTGAATCCCAGTGAGGGGGAAGCGCTGCTCTTGCGCTCAGAGTTGGGCGAAATATCGATATATCATCCAAAACCGGTTTGAAGTCCACATTGTGATATTGTTTTTTTTAAAAAATAAATTTATTTATTTAGTTTTTCAAATCAGAATTTTGCAATGACATATGCAGCATACAACATAAAAACAAGAATCCACAGAATCTCCAGGACTTCTTCCCTCCCCCCCCCCCCAGGTGCCTTCTTCTCCGTTCTCCTGGCCTACCTGCTCTTCACCTCCTTCTGGCCTATCAGTGTCTTGTATTTCGCCTGGTGGATCTTTGACTGGGATACGCCACAGAGAGGTGAGTTCGATTCTCCCCAACGAGGGTCGGATTGGGGTTTGATGAGGCCCTAAGCTACTGAAGGTGATGGGGCCCTTTATATGTCCACAACAATTTGTCACTGTTTTTTGTGTTGAATATATGCTATAAGGTAATTGATGGACCTCATAGGTATCTAAAGCCATGCAAACAGTCCATGCAGATCGTAAGGTAAAGGGACCCCTGACCATTAGGTCCAGTCGTGGCCGATTCTGGGGTTGTGGCGCTCATCTCGCTTTACTGGCCGAGGGAGCCGGCGTGCAGCTTCCGGGTCATGTGGCCAGCATGACTAAGCCGCGAACCAGAGCAGCACACAGAAATGCTGTTTACCTTCCCGCCAGAATGGTACCTATTTATCTACTTGCACTTTGACGTGCTTTCGAACTGCTAGGTGGGCTGGAGCTGAGACCGAGCAACAGGAGCTCACCCCGTCGCGGGGATTTGAACCGCCGACCTTCTGATCGGCAAGCCCTAGGCTCTGTGGTGTAACCCCCAGCGCCACCTGCGTCCCAGATGCAGATCGTAGGTACCCTATATATAGAAATGAGCAAACCAGGGATATTTTAGGGAACAGGCTAGCAGGCGGGGCCCGTGACTTACATCACAGGAGCCTACACAACACAAAACACTCTTCCTGTAGGTAGGGTTTATTTTATTTGTTTTTTATCTTATATTTCGGATATGTACATCCAGGTTTTTTTCCTTTAATTTTTTTGGGGCCCCCAAGGGAGTGGGGCCCTAAGCTAGAGCTTGTTTAGCTTATAGGTAAATCCGGCACTGCCCCCAACCCTACCCGGAGGTCAGGTGAAAGGCGCCTCTCCTTGTCTGAGAAGGGTGCTGAGCCCCACACCCAGACCCACACAGCTGGAGCTGCTGCTTCACCCTGCCCCTCCTCCTGCAGCTCACCCCCTTCCACTGGGGCAGCTTGCAACCATCCCAAACCTGTTTTCCTCACTGCTATTTACTGTTTTCTGTTTTCCAAGACAGCCTCCAATAAAAGACACAACGGCAGAAGGCATTTAATTTCTCTTTCTCTGTATGAAGGGCAGAAAAATCAGCCGCATTTATTTATGTATTTATCATTACTTATTAAATTTTCCTATAAAAACACACACGAAATCCTGTAATTGACACAAATCAAAAGAACCCTCCCCAAAATATAACATGGAATCAGAGTTGGAAGGGACCCCAAGGTACATCTTACTCCTCATTATTGATTGATTGATTATAATTTTATTTAAACCCTGCCCATCTGGCTGGGCTGCCCCAGCCACTGTGGGCAGCTTCCAACATACACACACAACAATAATAAAACATCAAGTATTAATAGTAACAATCAGATCCTACATAAAAAGTCACAATAACTTTGAAATAACATACCAAGTAAAGCAATATGCAATAATCCATTGGAATCCAATAATAAACACTAAAATTAAACATCAGCACGTCATAATTAAATGAATTTTTAAGCAGAGGTTGGGTGGTCATCTGCCAGGGATTCCTCAGCTGCGATTCCTGCATTGCAGAGGGTTGGGCTGGATGACCCCTGGGGGTCCCCTTCCAACCCCACAGTTCTCTGACTCCGTCCCCTGCCTGAACCCTTGCCTTCGCAGGTGGGCGCCGCAGCGACTGGGTGAGGCGCTGGAGAGTCTGGGAGCTCCACCGGGATTATTTCCCCATCAAGGTATGAGAAGGGGGCTGGTAGGGTCTCTGGAACCCCCGGAGACCAGATCACGGACAAGGAGGAGGTGGTGGCTGTCAAAGGCTGCAGGCCATGGAATCTGCGCATGCCCACCAATGGAAAACGGGGCACGCCTCTGATTGTGACATTCAGGTGTGAGAAGGGGGCTGGCAGGGCGACGGAGGGTCTGCCTTCCTCCGAAGGATGCCCAGGGTCTCTGGAACCCCTGGAGACCAGATCACAGAGAAGCAGGAGGCGGCGGCCGTCAAAGGCTGCTGGCCATGGAATCTGCACACTGACATTCAGCTGGGGGTCCAAATGCCAAAGGCCTCGCCCCTCTTGCCTTGCAGCTGGTGAAGACGGCCGAGCTGCCCCCGACGCGGAACTACGTCCTGGGCTACCACCCCCACGGGATCATGTGCGTGGGAGCCTTTTCCGCCTTTTGCACCGAGGCCACGGGCTTTTCCCGCACCTTCCCTGGCCTCCGTCCCAGCCTGGCCCTCCTCGCAGGGCTGTTTCGCATACCCGTCTTCCGGGAGTACATGATGAGCTCAGGTGAGGCCAACGGGGCGAGGAATGGTGGGGGTGGGGAAGTGGGGTGACCCCTCCTCTAAGGACCATCTTCAAGAACCCTGGCCTGGCCCATCCAATGGGAAGAACCACCCCAGTCTCAGGAATGCCCTCCCAGTGCCCCTGGGAATAGAATTCCCCAGCAAGAATGTCTGTTTTTCCTGCAATTTCCTATGCAAATGAAAAGGGGCCTTTGTTTGTGCAAATGATGATGGTGATGATGATAATTATTATTATTATGATTACAGTGGTGCCCCGCAAGACAAATGCCTCACAAGACGGAAAACCCGCTAGACGAAAGGGTTTTCCGTTTTTGAGTTGCTTCGCAGGACGAATTTCCCTATGGGCTTGCTTCGCAAGACGAAAATGTCTTGCGAGTCTTGAGATTTTTTTCCCCGCTTTCCCCCCCTTTATCTAAGCCGCTAAGCCTTTAATAGCCTTTTAGCAGCTAATCCGCTAAGCCGATAAGCCTTTAATAGCCGCTAAACCGCTAATAGCGCTAATCCGTTAAGCCGCTAATAGGGTTGCTTCGCAAGACGAAAAAACGCTAGACGAAGACACTCGCGGAACGGATTAATTTCGTCTTGCGAGGCACCACTGTATTATTATTATTATTATTATTATTATTATTATTATTATTTATACCCCGCCCATCTGGCTGAGTTTTCCCAGCCACTCTGGGTGGCTTCCAACAGAATATTAAAAACACGATAAAACACCAAACATTAAAAACTTCCCTAAACCTTCAGATGTCTCCTAAAAGTCAGATACCGTACATTCTGGCATATAGGACGACTTTTTAACACCGGAAAATTCTCTAAAATGTCAGAGGTCGTCTTATACGCTGGGTATGGGTTCGCTGGGCAGCGGCAGCAGGCAGCGGGCTCTGCGCCGGGAGGAAGCTGCCCAGCAATGCTAAGCCGGTTTTGCTGGGCGGCTTCCTCCCGGTGTGGAGTGGCCAATTTAGGGGGTCATCTTATACGCCCAGTTGCCTAATACGCCATAATCTACGGTAATTGTTTTTCTCTTTGACATCTGATAGGAGGTTGTTCCACAGGGTGGGCGCCACTACTGAGAAGGCCCTCTGCCCTGTAGCTTCACTTCTCGCAGGGAGGGAACTGCCAGAAGGCCCTTGGCTCTGGACCTCAGTATCCAGGCTGAACGATGGGGGTGGAGACGCTCCTTCAGGTCTACTGGGCCGAGGCCGTTTAGGGCTTTCAAGGTCAGCACCAACACTTTGAATTATGCTCAGAAACATACTGGGAGCCAATGTAGGTCTTTCAGGACCGGTGTTATGTGGTCTCCCAGTCACCAGTCTGGCTGCCGCATTCTACATTAGTTGTAGTTTCCGGGTTACCTTCAAAGGTAGCCCCACATAGAGTGCATTGCAGTAGTCCAAGTGGGAGATAACCAGAGCATGCACCACCCTGGCAAGACAGTCCAGGGGCAAGGAGGGTCTCATCCTGCGTCCCAGATGGAGCTGATAAACAGCTGCCCTGGACACAGAACTGACCTGTGCCTCCATGGACAGCGGTGAGTCCAGAATGACTCCCAGGCTGCACACCTGGTCCTTCAGGGGAGGGGCACAATTGTCCCATTCAGGACCAGGGAGTCCCCCACACCTGCCCGCCGCCTTTGCCCCCCAAAACAGTAGTTCTGTCTTGTCAGGATTCAACCTCAATCAGTTAGACACCATCTCTCCTCCAACCACTTCCAGACGTGCTGATCCTTTGCCAGCGACCCTTTTGCCCTTTAACCAACTCGCAGAATTTCGGAGTTGTAGGAGAATCGCGAGGGTCCTCTAGTCCAACCCTCCGCAAAGCAGGGAACCCCTGGAGATGTTTCACACCCACAAGAATGTTTGCTTTCTCCCACTTCCAGGGATGGTCCCAGTCAACAAAAGGTCCCTGGACTTCCTCCTGAGTGGTCCCCCCGGGCACGTGGTGGCCATCGTGGTGGGGGGCGCGTCCGAGTCCCTGGACAGCGCCCCCGGAGAGCATCGTGTCCGCCTTCAGGGGAGGAAGGGCTTCGTGCGCCTGGCGCTGCAACACGGGTAGGGGCACCAAGGGGGCAGGGGGGGGTCCGGGGGGGGGGCGTGTTGGTTGCAGGTCAGCAATATCTCGGGCCTAGTGAGCATGGCAGTGCTTCCTGGTGGATTTTGCCCCAATGAAGCAATTGCGAGAACAGAAGGTCCCTGTCCTTCCTTGTTGTATAATTTTTTATTACATTTTTCTTACGTTTTCACAATAACCTTCCTAACAAATAATTCCACTGTTCCATAAGTTGGCTTCCCACCTACACAGTGTTTTTACTCAAAGCTCTTCTACTGTGCTGTATCTTCATCTATTACAAAAAAATTAGTACAGTTATTTTGTCATTTTTCTTCTGCTGCTTTTATGTTGAAATCTGTCCGTGATTTCATTTGACTGTAATATTTTTTAAGTAATCCACAAAGTACTCCACTCTTCTGTAAAAAGTTCATCATTCTGATCACTTACTTTTGCTGTGAGCTTTGCTATTTCTGCCTAGTCCACTCCTTTGTTGGGACCTTCTCTTTTTCCCAATTAAGTTTTCTCTTAATGTATAACAGGCCGTGAATTCCATATGCTAAGGTCCCTGACTTCCCACAGCCTAGCCTACCTCGCAAGGTTCTTGGTTGGATTAAATGCTCTCCTTGACCCGACATTCCATCTGTGAGTTATGAGCCATAACCTGTTCTGCTGAACGTCTGTTTCGACTGTGAACAGCTGAGTGCTTTGGCATCCAGCCCTCTTCTGATGTGCCACTCTGCTCCTCCCGGCTACACAGATAGCGTGTGTGTAGCAAACTGTTGTAGGAACGATTCAGAGTGAAATTCGCCATTTTCCAAGCTTCCGCCCAGAAGCGTTGTGGTAAGCCTGAGTCAGAAAGCATCGCTTCCACCGCTTCCTGGAGCATTCTGTTCCGCCTTTCTGCCATCCCGTTTTCCTGTGGTGAGTGCAGAACCGTCAACCTGTAACGTATCCCTTTCTGGCGAAAGGAATTCTGCAACGCAAACCCAGTGAACTCCCCACCGCGGTCTGATTGGAAACTGGAAACCCTCAGTGAGAATTGGAGTTCCACTGCAGTGACCCACTCCCTCAGCATGGTGGCAGCTTCACCCTTGTCCTTCAGAGGTATCACCCAGCTGTTTCTGGAGTAATCATCTGTCAAGGTTAAAACCTATTTAGCCGCACCCAGACTTGCAAAAAGGCATAGGGCCACAAATATCTACATGAACCATCTCAAAAGGTTTCTTGGTTACCCTGTCAGACCTAGAATAACTGCACGTTTTTACCTTTGCCTTCTTGCATGCTCTGCAATCCAGGAACTTGGCACATGACTTCATTTTGCATCCCTCAGTGCACCCTGGTATTTTTCTCACATATCCCCAATTGCAGGGGGACATCCTCCTGTGCCACAAATGATGACTCATATTGTGAGTGGGAACATTTGCACACTGTGCTTGTGCTGACCCAGTGTTACCCTTACCTGCTTGAGATGTTTCCAGAATAGCCTGTTATGACATTCAGCACTGACCAACTGGTTCCCACCCCTGGAACTAGAGCATACATTATTCTCAAAGCAAACCTTAAACCCATCTCTAACTAAAGAAGACACAGACCATAGACAGCATTTCATCCCTGGGACCACAAATGCTTCCAGTTCAGCCTGCAAAAAAGGAAGAAAAACAGAGCCAACAGTTGTCAGCTATCTCTTGGATCCATCGGCAAGTGTGACTGTTTTTCCTTTGGAAACAGCTCTGCAGTTCCGCATTTGGCCACCAGATGGCAGCAGATGATGACTGGCTCCACTGTCGATCACCCAGCGCTGTATGTTGCTCTGGTCGCTGTCCTTCACTGTTGCCATGGAAACCGCCAATTGATGTGATGTTGGACCAAGGCCATTGCCCCGGGCAACCAGATTAGGTGCAACTGCTGGGTGACCTTGGGCCAGTCACACTTCTTTGAAGTTTTTCAGCCCCACTCTTCTTTTTTTTTTTAATGATATTTATTAAAAGTTTAAGAATTACAGAAAAAAGAGAAAAAGAAAACAACAAAAAATTTAACAAAACATACATTACAATACATAAAAAGAAAAGCATAAAAAACAATACAATACAGCAAAAAAAAAAAATAACATTAAAACACACATCCAATGTTCCATATCTTTATCTTTCGTTTACTTGTTTCATCGACCTCCTCACACCTCCCTTTTTGTATTCTAATTTAATTAATTGTTTCAGCAAATTCTTTCCATCTTTCTCAATTTTTGTTATATAATTTATTTTAACGATCTAACCTTTTAATTAACTCAACAAATCCTTTCCATCTTTCACTATATTCTGTCATTCAATTTACCTTAATTTATTTAACCTTATCTTACCATAAAAAAACCTTAAAACTTAAAACTTAATACTTATTTGTACATAACTCCTTATATCATTTCTACTAAAGCCAAATAGTTTCATTCCAACATTTTTCCTAATACTCATTAATTTTACACTAATTCTCAAAATAAATTTTTTAAAAAAACTTTCTTCCAATCTTCATCCAACGTCTCTTCTTCCTGGTCTCGGGTATTGTCAGTCCTTCTTGTCCATTCCATCTAGTCCATCAACCTGGTGATCTTATGTCCGAGGCTCTTAAGTCTTTTCCATGTCCCTTCTGCAGATCTTCTTCTTGTTTATACCTGCACTTTACTTTGTCTTTTGTTGATCTTTTTCTTAATTTCTTTCCTTTCTCATTGGGGGGGTAGGTCTCGGGGGACTCCAATCCAAAAATATCTCCATCTCCCCTCAGCAGATCAGCCCATTCCCCACAGTCCCATTCCCCACAGTCAACACTGTAATCCAGGAAGTATTTAAAAGCATGTTTCAAAGTCCTTCCAAAATTAAGAGCCCTCACAACTCCAGACCCCCCCTGGTCCACTCCAGATTCAAACTTCAAGAACAGCGGCTTATGCTCCTGCAAGGCCTCGGATCTCTCCATTTGTGTTACTTGAGGTTCAACAGCAACCTCCTCCATTATCTTCTGCACTTGCGCTTGCCCTGTCAAAACAAGTTCCTGGGCTGGTTCCTGAATGGTTTCTATATGGGTATTCGCCGTTTGTCCAAAGTTTTTAACTGCAACAGTCATCAAATCCATCTTCTCATGCATCTGCTCCAGCAAAGCGCTTGTCTTGCAAAAAGCAAGCACCAAAACTTCTTCTAAACACATTTTTATTCAAGGTTAGAGTCTGGTCTCACGATCCTAATCTTACAGCTGTGAAATCCCCAGATCGACTCCAGCAACAAATTAACAAGCTCCCTCTAGAGGAGACAATTTCTATTTGTATCCATCTTTTGAAAGCAGGACCAACAAAAGGAAATTACTTTCATTTTTCAAATATTTTGTTTCTTTTGAATGCAAGAGGCAACACTGGAGTCAATTTGTTTCTCTTTTTTTACTATCTGTCAAAAGACGTTCCATTCACAGTCGATGAACTTCCCCATAAATTTCTGTCTCTGACACCCCGTTCCCAGGTTTGAGACGGTAGAAATTTATCTTTCTTTACTCTCTCTCCTGCAGGCTTAAACAGTCAAAAATTCCCCCCCTTTTCTCCTGCTTCCAAGAGGGGTTTTGGTGGTGATAACTGACGGAAATTTAGACCTTTATATACGACTTTCCAGACTTTAGCTTACAAAGTTTTGCTTCAATCTATTTACAAAAATGGGAGGCGGACTTCCTGTTTTGAGCCTTCCCGCTTCAGTGCCAAATTAAAATGTTTCTGTTGGTACTAAAGGGTTAAGAGGTAACAAGTCGCTCTAATCACTGAGCAGCTGGAAGTCATTAAGCATCCAGGAATGTGAGTTAGTTTGTATAAATAGTCAGTTCACCCGTGTGTTCTCTCTCTCTCCCGCCCCCCTTGACCTGACTCGCAGACTCAGTTTGTGGCCATGGGCGTGTTTGCTAATATTAAGAGTTAAGTTTAGAGTAAAGTTTTCTTTATGCCGGAGATAAAAGCATGTGTGCTTTATCACCAGGGTTTTTTCTTTTGTAAATAAAGTTTTTTTTCTGAGTTCCAAAGTGCTTGCTCCAGGATTCTTCATTGAAAGGTACTGACTCTCCTGCCTTCTTCAACCGCTGCACGAAATTCTCTGCTGAGATAAGACTTATGGCGTTGGAAGCGCACTGGACGTTTACTTAACATTAAACTAATTAAAGTTTAATGGACAGGTTATGGGTGTTTGTACGTCAAGAAGGAGATAAGGAGTGCAGTTCAGAGTGATTTATGAAAGGAATGGAGCAAAGACAGAAGCGGTTGCCGACAACGAAAGCCTTCAAAGCAGCTTGAGTCCTGCAACGTGCCTAGAAAAAGTTTTAAACAGGCACTGCGCAGTTTGTACTCGCTGGAAGACATCTTATTCCTCAAGGAGCCACCTCAGCAGCTGGGAGACGGTCTACAGGTGTGTGAGTATCGTTCCTAAGCCCCAGGGAGGATGGCAGAGTCCCAGGAAAGTTTTGCTGTCCCGTTTACGCGACTCAATGGGAAAAATTGGCAAGATTGGAAGGCTAGAGTAAGGGTTTGGTTGCAAGCAAAAGAGTTGTGGGGTTGTACTGAAGCACCGCCTTTACAGGCAGCTGCAGACGCGTCTGCAGAAGACAAAGCAGCAGCAGCAGCTTCACAGAAACGCGACAGGAAAGCCCAAGGTCTATTAGTTTTGGCAGTGGGACCAGAGCAAATGCCTTATGTTTCTGAGTTAAAGAACACGCATGAGGTCTGGACGGTTCTGCAGCGGCTAAATTCCAGAAACACTGCGGGGCCAAGATCCATGCTACAAGATGTTTGTTTGATTTACGTCTCCAACCGGGAGCGTGTGTGAAAGAACATATTGCCAAAATGGTGTCTGCCTTTAATCAACTAAGACAGCTGGACATTCCTTTCTCTATGGAGCAGCAGTCATACATATTGTTGTCTTCTCTTGATAAAAGCTATGAGACTCTAGCTTTAACTTTGGAAGCTATGCCTTCAGCTGAATTAACCCTTGAATACATTTCTTCTCGGCTTGCAGATGAACAGGATAAAAGGCAAAGAGAAAGAGGTTTGTCTTCAAAGGGGAGTTGTGCTGTGCCGAAGAGTGGGGATGCTGAGTTTGAGAACACATTAAATGCTTTTGCAGCTAGACACTGTTTTCGCTGTGGTTCCTCTTCCCATTTAATCAGGAACTGCACACGTGAACCTGGTCAAGACAGCACCAAGGCCGCTACCCCTAGTTACCAGACAAGCAGTTCCAGGGGACGTCGAAGAAGAGGAGGAGGTCGTGGCTACTTCCACAGCACACAGCACATGGCTTCAGCAATGGCGTTGATGCAAGGGCGTGGCCAAGGCAGCAATCTACGCTGGTTGATCGATAGTGGTGCATCTCACCACCTGGTGGCGCCATCTAGTGTCCGTTTGCAGAATTGCAGGCATTTGCAAACCCTTAAAGTTGTGACAATGGCAGATTCAACTAAACGTTCCTTAGAGACCGTAGGCACAGTGTTCTTGAATTGTTTGCATACAGAAATTGATCCCTATGTGCTAAAGGGAATGAAGGGGTGTATTTTGTCTGTGTCAGAACTTGATAGAGATGGGTTTAAAACTGTGTTTGAAAATGGGGTTTGCACTATTTCAAAGAATAACGTATCTCTTTTGCAGGTGGAATGCAGAAATGGGTTATATTATTTTGAGACAAGTCCAGATGAAGTTGAACAGGTTCATGCTGGTTGTGTAAACTCGCCTACCCATAATTCTTGTGTTCATTTATGGCACCGCCGTTTGGGACATATTAATTTTCAGTATGTTAAAAGGCAACCTGAATTATCAGAAGGGTGCGAAATGAACAAATGTACTAAGTATTTGGATTGTACTGCATGCAAAAGGGCGAAGGTTCATAGATGCAGCTATCCCAGTTCAGATAGGAAATCTGACAAAGTATTCCAACTTGTGCATATGGACCTATGTGGCCCAATGCCTGTTGCTAGCATGGGAGGTTCGAGGTATGCACTGTGTCTCTCGGATGACAAAACAAAAGTCACATGGTTTTTCCTCTCAAAACAAAAGCAGATACTGCAGAAACAGTTAAAAATTGGGTTCATGCAGTAGAACTTGAATTCGGTACTAGAGCACTTGCTTTTCAGACAGACAGAGGGTTAGAATTTACTGGGTCTGTGTTGCAGAATTTCTTTAAGAAAAAGGGAATTAAGCATCGTCTGTCTACACCTTATTCCCCCCAAGAAGGAGGCGTGGCCGAACGCAAAAACAGGGTTCTGCAAGAGTTGACAAACTCTATGTTGTTTGATTCTAAACTCCCTCAAAGTTACTGGGCGGAAGCCTGGCAGACGGCTACTCATATTCTGAACCGAGTATATAATTCGGTAATTGATACTACGCCATATTTTGCGTTATACGGGAAGAAGCCCAAAGTTAATTACTTTCAGGTGTTTGGATCTCAAGCTTATGTACTTATCCCAAAAGCGTTAAGGAAAAAGGGAAGTCCAAGGGCTAGGAAACTCATCTTTTGTGGGTATGAACCACATGCCAAATCTTGGAGGTTCGTGAACCCAGATGGGGATACTACAAGAGTGGTCATCAGTAGGAGCGCTGAATTTTGTGAGCAATCCGGATGGACTCACTTACATGCTAACCCTGACATTTTGAGAGATGATTTAGGCATTTATGCTGAGAATGAAAGTCCAGAGGGTGGTGAGCCAGAAGGGGATGGTGCACATGGTTCAGATGCAGATTCTGACCAGGCACAAGGTTCTTCTCCTAAGGTAGAAAAGCCAGAATCTAGGAGTGTTCCAACATCGCCAGTCAGTAGGCCTAGCAGGACAGCAAAAGCGAAGCAGGTCGCCTGCAACACCAAGCCCAAGGGAGGTATCTAAACGGAGGTCTTTATCCCTAGGGGCGCATCCAGATATAAAGTCTGAGACAGATTCTGACAGCCAACGGTCAGAGGGGGCACAAGAGGAACAATTGCGCAGATCAAAACGTGCCACAAAGGGCAAACCACCAGAGCGGTTTAAGGTGACAAGTGTATACATAAATATGGCACAGTGTGAGCCAGATAGCTATATAGAGGTACAACAGCTTCCAAGCTCAGAAGCCATAAAGTGGCAGGAAGCAATGGAAAAAGAGATGGCTTCAATGAAGTCTCTCGGTGTGTTTACAAGTACAGAGCTTCCGAAAGGGCAACAAGCTGTAGGTTGTCGATGGGTATATCATTTAAAGCCCACAACTACTGAGGAGTTGCAATATAAAGCCCGACTAGTTGCAAAGGGATTTTCGCAGCGCAAAGACGGTTTTACAAAAGCTTTGAGTCCGCAATCTCATAAATGTTTCTGTTCAGGTTTAAATTTGAATTAATGTTGGTACAGCTCAGTGTTACGAGTGAGAGGGGGTGTTGGTACTAAAGGGTTAAGAGGTAACAAGTCGCTCTAATCACTGAGCAGCTGGAAGTCATTAAGCATCCAGGAATGTGAGTTAGTTTGTATAAATAGTCAGTTCACCCGTGTGTTCTCTCTCTCTCCCGCCCCCCTTGACCTGACTCGCAGACTCAGTTTGTGGCCATGGGCGTGTTTGCTAATATTAAGAGTTAAGTTTAGAGTAAAGTTTTCTTTATGCCGGAGATAAAAGCATGTGTGCTTTATCACCAGGGTTTTTCTTTTGTAAATAAAGTGTTTTTTCTGAGTTCCAAAGTGCTTGCTCCAGGATTCTTCATTGAAAGGTACTGACTCTCCTGCCTTCTTCAACCGCTGCACGAAATTCTCTGCTGAGATAAGACTTATGGCGTTGGAAGCGCACTGGACGTTTACTTAACATTAAACTAATTAAAGTTTAATGGACAGTTTCTTAATCCAATTTTCCGTTCTACTCACAGGTACTTGTTTAGAGTCCAATTGTCCACAGGAAAAAGTCAGCGCTCTCCGGCAACGGCTGTGCGGCTTCACTCCGTAAAAGTAGCGGTTGATTCAAAACACCGCGCCACTCACCCCATGTCGCTTCGTATCCCCGAAAAAGGGTTTCCCTGCGAGTAGGGGAGGCGCTCCTGGTGTCAGCCGAATCCCACGTTCCCAGGCTTCCTCCGCCTGGGATTTTTAGAGGGTCTCCGCCTTCGCCGCGGCGGCAAGACCTGATTTTCACAGAGCGGGTTCCTCTCGGTCAGAGGAACTCCGCCATTGCCGATGGCGCTAACCCCGGAAGTCCTCTCAGCCCCACTCACCTCACAGAGTGTTTGTTGTGGGGGAGGAAGGGAAAGGAGAATTTTAGCCGCTTTGAGACTCCTTAAAGGGAGTGAAAGGCGGGATATCAAATCCAAACTCTTCTTCTTCTTCTAAGAAGCGATTTATCGTACAGCAGCAAAATAAATCAACGACCCAGGAGAGCGTGGCGACATGCTGTCTCTCCCTCTCTCAAAGCAGAAAGTAAATTCTTCCTTCTCTTCCTCCTCGCAGCGCTGACCTGGTGCCCGTTTACACCTTTGGGGAGAATGACATTTACCGACAGATCCGGTTCCCTGAGGGCAGCTTCGTTCGCCGCCTCCAGTTCGGTTTCAAGCAGCTGATCGGCTTCGCCCCTTGCCTCTTCAGTGGGAGGGGCCTCTTCTCCAGCAGCTCCTGGGGGATCCAGCCCATGGCTGCCCCCCTCACGGTGGTGGGTAAGGACCCACAAGGCTCCTCGTTCCTTCCTTAGCCTTTGCCCTGCACCCCAAAATCCTCACCAACCTGATTGCAAAGAGCCACAAACTCTTCAGCATCGTACAAAACAGCATGTTCTGGTGCATCTCCCTTTCGCCCTCTCCTAGAACTGAATCGGAGACCTGTGGAGTTGAATGGGACCCCCAAGGGTCATCTAGCCCAACCCCTCTGCAATGCAGAAATCAACGAGCCGCCTCGTTTTATGGGGCTTGCTATGGAGGGAGCTGCCATTGTGTGCGTGCATGCACACACACACCGACTTCCTTCTCCCCTTCCTTGGAGGTTTCTAAGCAGAGGTTGGTTGGCCATTAATCAAGGGGTTGGGCTAAATGACCCTTGGGGTCCCCTCCATTCCTGCACCTAGGCCACCCCTAAAACCCAAGGCCAGGGTGCAAAGCTACTGGGGTGGGGAGGCCCTGGCTGCCATGGGGTGGGGGCGAGGGACAGAGCAGACCCCCCAACCGCCCATGCTTCTTCTCCTTCCTGCAGTGGGGACGCCTATCCCGGTCCCGCTCCGCCCGCGCCCCACCGAGGACGAGGTGAACAGCTTCCACGCTCTCTACGTCCAGGCCCTGAAGGAGCTCTTTGACGCCCATAAAGAATCCTGCGGCCTCCCGGCCTCCCAGCAGCTCCTCATCACCTAGAGGGACCCAGACGTGACCCGAAGCAGCATCAGGGGACGCAAGGTTGTGATGGGGAGAGACACGCGGGAGACTTTGTTCCTCCCATCCCCGTCTGTACACACTGATACGGAAGGGGGGCATATCTTCTTCACCCTTTCGCCGGTCACCAGAGGGTCCGAGGCGATGACCTCAAGGGCACCCAGCCCCACATGGACCCCTCAGCCCCCACACCATTGCACAAGCACCACACTTTACCCCAAGCCCCATAAATAAAGTGCCTTTCCCCCTTTTCCTACACTGATCCGCTATTACGGGCAAAATAAGCCCAAAGTCTTATGCCCTCCCTCCCGCTCTATTTTTGCTATGGGTAGACCATATAAAGTTGTACTTCCTATCTGTTGAATTGGTGCGTTCTACCCAATCAGAACCATGCATTCGCCTTGCAGAGCTAGTTCAGCGAGCTCCTGTACGCCTCATTTAACCCCTTGACAAGCTGCTGATGGCTCCCCGCTGGGAGAACAATGGAACCGAAACTTGTGAACTCATAAAACTGTCAAATCTCGCTACAATGTATCCACTTTGTTTCCGATTCCAATTGTCAATATAAAACGGGCTAAAAATCTCTAAAAATTCATATAAAATCAACCGCAACACCAATTTTCTTGCTTTTGGTGCCAATCGGCTCAATGTCTCTAGGACTCCATGACACCTCCCCTGTCCTCCATAATCCCTCAAGCGAGGGATTCTCAGGAAGTACTCAGGAAGACCCTAATCCTGTCAAATCACTCTGCCAAGCCTTTCCTCTGGTCAATGCCAGGTGGCAGACTATGGATACATGGACCATTGTCTTCTCATCACCAGTACTCAGGATATGCTTATCTGCGCATATCTCCAGCTCTGCATACTCCCCCTCCCTCTTCCATATGTTAATCCTGTGTAACCCAACCTCTTCTTAATGTATTCATGATGTAACCTGTGTAACCCAACCTCTTCTTAATGTATTCATGATGTAACTGTGATGTATTTTGCACTGTATTCTGGGACATGGAGGGAAGTTTTAAAAGTTCATGTCACCCCTTTCTCGCTGTTCAATCTCGCCTTGAACCTGTTGCGCAATAAACTTGGATCTTCTGCATCTTGCTCCTGTCTCCGCCTGAGCTTATTTTCCTCCGCAGGGACCCGCGGACTTAGTCCGACGAGCTGGGTGGCAGAGCAGCCTCGCACCCAGATTTTACTGTAACAACACCATTTCCAATAAAAGGCGCCGTGCCTGATGTCTGATCTTGGGTCCTTGGTGCCCGAACCCCCTTTTTGTGCTCGCCTGCGGAGCCCAAGGCTGGTTGTCTCATTCACACGTGCATTATGAAGGCAAGGTCTGCAGGGCCCGGCAGCCAGAGAAGCAGGTCGTGGCCCTGTTAGAATACCTGCTCCATGACTGCAGTCATGGGATTGTTGTCTTTTACATGACGGTGTATGTTTTGACTCCACTGAGTGGGTAGTGACGGAGACAGGATGTTTGTGTTCCTGTGTTCCATGAAGTGGGACTATTGTCCTTTGTTCTTTCTCTCTTTGCTGTCTGATGCTAGAAAGAGAGGGAGCCATGTTGCAGTGCTCCGTGTGTGTTTATATGTAAATAAAGTAGATTAGCCAAAATGCTGAGTTCTGTTACGCATGATGTGCATACTCTGCAGATCCCTAAGTGTGCCGGTGTCGGTTGGCATCGGTCCGGGCTGAAGAAAGCTTTTGAAGCTCCCGAACGATCGATCAGGAGGGAGAGAACATACCAGGCGGGCATGTTTCTCTGCCAGGGTCCTACTCGGGTGTAGGCGCTGGATCCATGGCGCTGGCTTGAGGGGGCTGCCCACATGCCCTCCGGGTGAGCAGCTAGGAGCTTGCCTGTCTGCAAGAGAAAAGATCATTTGGACATGCAGGCGTAGCTCTTACTCAGAAAATGGGGGCTGTTACGGAAATTACGGGGGGGGGCACATCTTTAAACTTAAATATTACAAATATTATGCCTGAATGTATCTTTTCAACTTGACAGCTCAGGGAAGTTACCTAGCTTTAAAATAATATAAAATCATCTCCTTTCCCAGTTTCCTCCATTCCAAAGCTATTTTTCCCCTTGCAAAAGGACTCCAGGAAGTTCTCAGAGGTGACAATTGCTGGGCTCATTGTTAGCCAAGGGAAGCCAAATCTCATCACCTGACTCGCCTCAGGCTCCAGACATGCAAATGAACTTCTATTGCACTTTTGTCTATGCTAATCTTATACCTGAGTCTTGCCTTGCAATGTCTGCTTATGCTAATCTGGTACCAAGGACTTGTCTGGGCACGTTTGCAAGGTTAACCCCTCCCCTTTTGTGACATGTCAGTGATGTAGCAATGATGCTGTACGAACTGTATTCTGGGATATGGTGGGAAAGTTTTAAACGTCTTTGTCACCCCATCCTCGGGCTTCAAAATTTGCTCTTTGAACCTACTGCGCAATAAACTTTGGTCTACAGCTATTTGCTCTGGTTGGCTGGACTCCTTCCTTTATTCCCCAGGGACCCGTGGGCTCTGCCCGACCAGCTGGGGGACTGAGCAGCCTCGCACCCGGATTTTTCCTTAACAGGGGCCCTGCTCTTTGGCCAGGAAAAAGAGGGAGGGTAAGCTGGGCTTACTGCCAACCTAGCAGTTTGAAAGCACGTCAAAGTGCAAGTAGATAAATAGGTACCACTCCGGCGGGAAGGTAAACGGCGTTTCCATGCGCTGCTCTGGTTCGCCAGAAGCGGCTTAGTCCTGCTGGCCACATGACCCGGAAGCTGTACGCCGGCTCCCTCGGCCAGTAAAGCGAGATGAGCGCCGCAACCCCAGAGTCGTCCGTGACTGGGCCTAATGGTCAGGGGTCCCTTTACCTTTAAGCTGGGCTTGGGGATCAGTTTTCCCAAGGGGCTAGAGGACTCTTCTCTGACTGCAGGAGCAACTCAGGACATGACCGGGTCGGGTGGAGGCAGGGCAGGGGGTGCCAGGAGTCTCAGGCCAAAGGGGGGTGGGAGAGAGGGCCCGCGGTTCAGCATTCCCCTTTGCCCACCCATCGTGTGCACTCTGTGCATGCCCCAAGGCAACTCCCAGTTTGCACCCTGGTTTTGAGTGGAAATCTGGGTACTGTTATCCCCAGAGGTCCTCACGCAGGTCAGAGAAGTAAATGCAAGCAAAAAGCAGCTATTCAGCCCCATCGTCCTTTCGTGGTTGCCAAGGTGACTTGAAATCTGGGTATCCCTGGTTGCAGCGCGCCCCGCGAGGTCCTTTCACCAGTCAGGATAAATCAAGAAACCACAGCCAGGTATAGGAAAGCAAGAAGCAGCTATTAAGCCTTGTCTTTATTGTTGCGATAAGCTTTCAACCTCTAAGCCAGGAAAGAATAAGCCCCAAACAAAGGCATGTAACTCCTTTTAGAAGTTACATTTCCCCTCCACAATTCATTTCAGAGAAGCTTCATTCAAATCTCATGCCCTGCCATAAAACAGGTGGAGTGAGAGACAGTCCTTTGAGTCCATGACCTGTCACCTGTCAGTCAAGGTGTCAGTGTATTGTCTGCCTTTTCCTCTCGGAGCAAATATTTTACGTTCCTTTTGGCATTACAGTTATGTCCGCTCAGTTCTGCTCATCCAGTCTCTTGTGCCAATATTGTGAGTATACAGTATGATTTTTCTGTCTGTCCTTTATCAGGTCTGGTGGCCCATTGACAGCTGAGAGGAAAAGGTCCGAGTTGGTGCCCTTCTGCTTCTGGGATTATGGCCACCCCTTCTCTGCCCACCACTGCGGCTCAGAAACACTTTATTTATGCTTTTGTATTTCTAGCTTTACCCTCCTGTACAAAATAAAACAGTTTGTTTGGATATTTACAGTGTTTTTCCATTGCTTTCCATTCATACAACAGGGTTTTATTGACTTAACTGATGATTTCCACAAACCTGGGAAGGCTCAGTCGATAGAGAATGACGTTAAATAAGTTGGAGTTCTTGTTATTAAATATACCAAGAAAAAAGCACACCAAGAACTCTGGCCAGTATAAGTTTCAGTAGTGGGAGTGGTCCCTACTCACAAGTCAACAGTCAATAGTAACAAAAACTAATCCATTCAAAAGTAAGTATTCTGACAAGGATTACAAACTCAAATAGAGATTACGAACTGAAACAAAGATTACAAACTCATAAGGATATGTATAATACAATGATTCGTTACAGTATTAGAGATAAGAATTTATGAGTAGAGAAAAGTTCACGTGAGTGCATAGTCAGATTCGACGTGAAGATCTTAGTTTCAATCACTGAGCAGAAGTCAGAAGTCAATTATGGATCAGAAACCAGGACAGGGCCGTGTTTCGACGTATTCACCTTCATCAGCTAATTTTTAAAGGGTCGCCTAAGTTTAAAGAATTCGTGTAAATATATCCTGTTATTTTCTATGTTTCTCAGAGATAACAACTAAATGTGGGCAGATCAACCTGTATCTTGAGCTTTTCTGTAAAGCAAGAGATTCCTGCGTTGCACCGGGTTGGACTAGATGACCCTCGTGGTCCCTTCCAGCTCTACGATTTTATGGTTCAGTTTTAAGCCCTGCTGTTTGATGGGTGAGATGTTGACCTGCTCTTTGCAGAGGGTTTTTCTGAGCGCTGCAGAGTTCGCCTGCTATTTACGCAGCTCTTCTTATAAAGGCCATTGTCCATTAAGGGGATTTGAAGTTTAAGGGGCTGCCAGCGCTGTTTCTGATTGGGTGGCTGTCAAACGAAGTGGCTCCTGATTGGTCAGTTTTCAGGTTACAAGGGAAATGGAGGTTTCTCGCCTTATTTTGGCAGAATGTTGTGAATGTACCTGTGTTTGTGTAGGGGGTTGAACTTCTGTTCATGTGCACCTAGTTTGGGGAGGGGAGCGGACTAGATCTCCCTAGGGGTCCCTCCCAACTCTATAAATTTACAATTCCATGTGGAGGGAGGGCCTTCCACAGATCTGGCTAAAAGGAGCAAGGCTGGGTGGTGAGCCCCTTCCAGGCTCCACAGAGGAGAGCAAATAGGGAGAGGCTGCCCTGCCCTGAGGCAGGAAGCAATGTCATTACCGGCAAAAGGTTTGTGTAATTTCTACCTTTGCTCCTCCAGGCTCAGGTCAGCTTGGACCTCACTGCCCTGCCTGGCAGGAGACGGAGGAGGAGGAGAGGGCAACCTTTGAACTGCACCCAGCACCCCCACCCACAGGGTGCTTCAGAAACCCTGTGATTTCTCACCCTGTCTTTCTTCCAGGGGCACCTAAAGGCCATCAGGAGGAGCTGCGCTTGGTCCCTTTGAAAGGTAGGCAGCTGCAACTGCGGATCCTCAGAGCACTCTTCACCTGCTCAGAGGCACTCTTTCTTCCCTGGAGCTACCGTGCCACCAAAGCTGCATTAACTGCATTTCAGCGAGGCCGGGGGGGGTGTGTGTCTTGGATCTCCAGGCAAACTTCCCAGGCTTGCGCCCCAGAGAGGCCACTTTGGTGCCTCTAACACAGTTGTTTCACTTCACCCCGGGAAGCACACTCCATTGTCTCTCCAGGCGGACAGTTGCCAAGCAAAGGGGTTGGGCCGGATGACTCTTTGGGTCCCTTCCAACTCTTCTGTTTTAGGACTCTACAAGGAGCGTCATGGTCTCTGCCGCTCTGTGCTCTGTCGACATTGTACTGTTTTAAAAAATTATCTTTTTTTAAAATGGTTCTGAGCTGCATTTTACTGCATTTTGTGCATCTCCTTGAACCATGTGCATGGAAGGAGATTAATTTATTAATCATTATCATCATAATGATGATGGAATGGGACCAACTCTGAATTACAAAGATGTCTGCTAACGTGACCATAAAGCCACAGCAGGCACTGTGAACTTCCAAGAGTTTGACCTAACCCTTGTTGCAGGAATTTATGTATAGGTTGGGGGGGTTGCCCCTCCAGCAGATATCATGCACATGCAGCCCACTACCAAAATCAGCACAATCACTTTTGTGACTTTTGTGATTTGTCCCCACAAAACACTTCATCCTGTCTATTCAAAGGGCCTTTGCTGCACAATACCAAATGTAAAAATTCACTGATCAATGGATCTCTGTACTGGCTCACTGGGAAAACTTCAGAAATTCATCTAGACCTGTGAGCTCAGCTACTCAGCAGCCCCTCTGCCTGGGTGATAATCCCTGGCCTCCTGATACCTGAGTGCCAGACAGGTAGCCATTCCAGAAATAACAAACCCAGATGAAGACAAAAGGGTGGGATGAACTTGGCTAGGAAACAGGGAAATGTAAATATCTATTTTGTTACACTTGATGGGTGTTTGGTGGAGGGCAAGAGGAACCATGGGGCAGGGTCCAGGATGCTCAGATTCCTGCCACCAGACCTCCCCTTTCATGATGTAACCGTGATGTATGAGTGATACATTTGGGGGGGGGGTGTAACATGGGGATTAGCAGCTAATAAAAGTTTGGGTTCTCTTTTGTTCGGGGCTTCCATCTTGTTCCACCTGGTGGCAGGTGGGAGTCCTGTCACAACAGTCTTAAAGAAAGACCAAGCCTACTGGCTGCTGTTTTGCTCTGGTATTCCGGGCTGGGGTCCTTGTTTTTTGTCCAAGGGAGCCCTCGGATTTCTCCGTTAACACCCTCAAAGGCGGCCTCCTCCATTGTCTCCCGAGACAGACAGGTGCCAACCTGGATTCAGCTAATCTGGAGTGCTAGCAGAAGCCAGTGTAGGGACTCCTCCTGGCATAATGGGACCCCCCCTAAAAAAATCCACTCCAGGATGTCAGGGGAACCCCCAGAATAACATGCAGGAGGAGGGGAGAGGAGATTGTTCCAGTGGGCACACAGACATGCTTGCACTGACAGAACGAAGAATAGAACAACATAATTGCAGAGTTGGAATGGACCCTCAAAGGTTCTCCAGCCCCACTGTCATCTAGGGGCCCATAAATCTGCCCAGCCAGCCCTCCCCCTGGGTTTACAGCTTCTGAAGGACCGCAGCAGGTAGGGGCACCTCCCTGGCATACAGAAGGGCCCAGCTGCCAAGCCCCCAGGGCAGCATCTCCCGGCGAGGCAGGGAATTCCTCCCTGGAGAGGCACTGATGCCACCGCCAGGCACAAGGTAGATGGGCAAAGGTCTCCGTCTGAGGCAGCTTGGAGAAGTGAGGCGGGCAGACAGGCCAATCGATCCTGGCACCCCAACCTTTGTCTCGTGGGCTGAGAGGGCAGGGCGGAACTGGGATGAGGGCCAAGGGGAAGGAGCCGAGGGCCAGCAAGGCAGCTACTGGTTGCTGGGGATGGAGCGATTGGCTCTAGTGCCCTGGCTGGGGGTCAAAATAAATGAATCTGAGGGTACCTCTGGGCACACAGAGTTTGGGAGCCGCTGGGCTTGACTTTCAAGTTTCCTGGAGCCCGGAGGAGAGCTCAGCCAGGTCCCCATTGCCTCACCTGGGTGCCAGCAGCGTCCTTATTGCCAACTCACCTGGGGACCAAAGTGCAGGCGGCAGAGAGAGAGACTTGTGCATTGCAGCCGTGGGCAAGACAACGTCTTCTCCTGGACAAGTGAGCCTCTTTCCTCCTCCTCCTCCTCCTTCTTCTTCCACCTCCTGCTGCCCCCTTCCTGAGGGCACGGCTGAAGGGGAGCAGGTGGGCTTTGGGATGCAGGTCAGAGGCCACCTGTGCTGAACACACCTGCGTCTTCACGCTCTCCCTTCTGCCAAGGCAGGGCCCCCTCCTGGCTGGAGTCCTGCTGCACATCCCCCCCCCAACTCCTCCCCTCTGGAATTTCTCCCCAGGATCTCTTCCTCTTCCTCTTCCTGAGACCAGGGTCAGAAGATGGCGCTGCAGAAGCATCTGGAGGCTCTTAGCGTCTTCCAGTGGGTCCTCACCTACCTCTTCTTTGGTAAGTTGGGAGCTGGGGTGGGTGGGAAGGAGGGGCAGGGGGTGCTCAGGGAAGAGGGGCAGCTTGGCCTCCTCCCATAGCTGTCAACTTTTCCCTTTTCTTGCGAGGAATCCTATTCGGAATAAGGGAATTTCCCTTTAAAAAAGGAAAATGTTGACAGCTATGCCTCCTCCTCTTCCTGGGGCCATGGGCTTCAGGAGGTCCTCTGGCAGGCCAGGCCCCCCTCCCCCAAAAGCCAAACCCCCTCTTTTCAAAGTAGCTTTGGGCCAGGTGTGTCTGGACTAGGGAGTCAGCACCGTAGGGAGTTGGGCTAGATGACCCTGGGGTGCCCCTTCCAACTCTACAATTCTGTGATCAACATCCCTGACCCCTGGCCATGCGGCAGCCTCTGAAGGTGGGCGGCTCGCCCCCCCCCCCCCAGCCATTGCCTAAAATGTCCTTCTGGATTTAGGGGGGCTTCAGATCACACCCTCGGGGGTCCCGTGAAATTGGGGTTGTGGTCCCAGGCAGGGCCTCTAAATCCCAGTGAGGGGGGAGCGCTGCTTGTGGGTAGAGTTGGAAGATATATTGATATATCATCCAAAACTGGTTTGAAGTCCACATTGTGATATTGGTTTCAATTTTTGTTGTTGTTTTAAAAAATAAATTTATTTATTTGGTTTTTCAAATTAGAATTTTGCAATCACATATCCAGCATAAAACATAAAAACAAGATTCCACAGAATCTCCTGGACTTTGTGGGTCCTACTGTTAATCATTTTCTCTTGCATCTCTTATACGAATCCAAATCTTTTACATCTCCATAATATCCAAAATTCACCATTAAACTACAAATGTTATTCCAATCCTACTAACAATTTTAACTGTTTACAATGGTTTTTAAGGTAAGTTATAAATTTCCCCATTCCTTATAAAAATCAATAAAGAGCATTTACAAAATGAATAAAAATAAAATGTTGGTCTTCCTGATTTCTGATTCTTCTGGTCATTTTTGCCATTTTGGCATAATCCTTCACCTTAATCTGCCATTCTTCTGTGGTTGAGACTTTGTCCTATTTTGGCTTCATAGTTTTTGAACCCGGCAATATATCATGAGCTATGATGTTTGTGTGTGCTATGCAAAGATCACGATGTGCGGGGAAAACCATGAGGCCGGCCGATGCCTCTACATCAGGGGTCAGCAACCTTTTTCAGTAGGGGGCCGGTCCACCGTCCCTCAGAGCATGTGCGGGGCCAGATTTTATTTTGGAAAAAAATAATGAACAAATTCCTTTGCCCCATAAATAACCCAGAGATGCATTTTAAATAAAAGGACCCATTCTACTCATGTAAAAACACGCGGGCCGGATTGAGAAGGCGATTGGGCCGCATCCTGCCCACGGGCCTTAGTTTGCCTACTCCTGCTCTACATTCTCCCACCAACATTTCAGACATCACGATAGATGGGTATATCACGGTGTTTAGTGGGTGATATTTAGTGGATGATGTTGGAAGCCAGAGATCACCCAGCCCTAGTTGTGGGTTTCCCTTCAAGGGCATCTGTTTGGCAACTGTGAGGGCAGGATCCTGGGCTGCAGGTGGTTGGCTGGCCTAATCCAGCCAGCTCTTCTTATGCTCCTATGGGAAGCATAGACCTGGGTGGACCAGCGTTTCCCCTGCCCTAGATGGACCCCTTCCGACAACTCCCCACCACCCAGGGAGCTTTCAGCCTGGAGGGCTGGCCTGCCCCTCACCTGCCTCCGGCCTCTCCCCCCCCCCAGGTGCCTTCTTCTCCGTTCTCCTGGCCTACCTGCTCTTCACCTCCTACTGGTCTATCAGCGTCATGTATTTCGCCTGGTGGATCTACGACTGGGATATGCCAGAGAGAGGTGAGTTCGATTTCCCCCAACCCTACCTGGAGGTCAGGTGAAAGGCACCTCTGCTTGTCTGAGAAGGGTGCTGAGCCCCACACCCAGACCCACACAGCTGGAGCTGCTGTCTCGCCCTGCCCCTGGTTTAAATTTCAAATTCGTTTTATTTTGTTGATGGGTAATGAAAGGTTTTGTAACTGTGTGCATCTTGGATAAATAGAAAACTGGTATAAATTGAATTAAAGAGACAAATGAACTGCCAGCCCAGATGCTCCTCTCTCACTGCCCAGCTGCCCAACCCAAAACTGTTAAGCTGCAGAGAAAGCCTTAAGGATCAGATTCCCTGGAGGCAATGCCTTCATTCCTTTGTGAGGCTTGGGGTGGGGGTCTTGCCCAGGGGGTCCTCTAGGGAAAAATGGTTAGTGAAGTGTAGGTGGGTCCCCACGGGGCAAGACGCAGCAATAACAGCAAGAACCTTTATTGAACTACATGACTGGGAAACAGGGGCAAAAGAACTGCTTATATACTGTATCTTCCCATCTATAAGAAGACGCCCCCATGTATAAGACACCCCCTATTTCGGGGGACTCAGATTTAAGAAAATGGGGGGAGATGACCCCGTGTATAAGACGCCCCCGAATTTTTGACATTATTTTTTAGGGGGAAAACCTAGTCTTATACACAGAAAAATATGATACATTCCTGAAAGTCTGGGCCACTCCCATTCCCAAAGTGATTGGCTGTCTAAACTTCCAAGCTGCGAATCACGACTCAGAGTTCAAAGGCCAATGGCAGAGGCCCAAATCCTGAAATGTTCTGTGATTGGACATCATGTATCAAATCAGAACACAGGAGCTCAGAATCCTCAGGCAAACACAGACCCCTGAATACATAACCATTGGTATTCGTTGAAACACAAAAATGTCTCCGTGACTTACATTCCAAGCGGTGTACAAACTCATAAAATCCAAGAACTTAAAATTGCATTGCTGTTCCTAAAAATAAAACAAAATACACACATTCAGACAGCAACAATGGCAAGGGTTTTGTAGGAAGGGAGGTCTTGTGGGGCGCGGGGGGGGGGGGGCGGTCCAGCCTCAGCCAGACCTCCTTCCCTCAAGGGCAGCACAGGACCACCAAAGGGCTGTCACGTGGAAGGTGGAGCTAGCAGGTATCCTGCGGCAGGATCTGAAGCCATGACTTCACATGGCAAGAAAGGAGATTCCGACTCCACATCAGGAAGTACTTTTTGAGGGTTAGGGCTGTTCCTCAGTGAAGCGGACTCCCTCGGAAAGTGGCAGGCTCTCCTGCTGTGGAGGTTTTTAAGCAGAGGTCGGGTGGTCATCTGCCAGGGATGCCTCAGCTGCGATTCCTGCATTGCAGGGGGTTGGGCTGGATGGCCCCTGGGGGTCCCCTTCCAACCCCACAGTTCTCTGACTCCGTCCCCTGCCTGAACCCTTGTCTTCGCAGGTGGGCGCCGCTGTGACTGGATGAGGCGCTGGAGAGTCTGGGAGCTCCACCGGGATTATTTCCCCATCAAGGTATGAGAAGGGGCTGGCAGGGCTCCTGAAGGATGCTCAGGGTCTCTGGAACCCCCGGAGACCAGATCACAGAGAAGCAGGAGGCGGCTGCCGTCAAAGGCTGCTGGCCATGGAATCTGCACACTGACATTCAGCTGGGGGTCCAAATGCCAAAGGCCTCGCCCCTCTTGCCTTGCAGCTGGTGAAGACGGCCGAGCTGCCCCCGACGCGGAACTACGTCCTGGGCTCCCACCCCCATGGGATCATCTGCGCCGGGGCCTTTTCCGCCTTCTGCACCGAGGCCACGGGCTTCCCCCGCGCCTTCCCTGGCCTCCGTCCCAGCCTGGCCGCCCTCGCAGGGCTGTTTCGCATACCCGTCTACCGGGACTACCTGATGAGCTTAGGTGAGGCCAACGGGGCGAGGAATGGAGCAGGGATTAGGGGCAGGGAGTCCACAGGGGGTCGAGACATCGGTCGGGGTGGGGGTGGGGAAGTGGGGTGACCCCTCCCCTAAGGACCATCTTCAAGAACCCTGCCTGGCCCATCCAATGGGAGGAACCACCCCAGTCTCAGGAATGCCCTCCCAGTGCCCCTGGGAATAGAATTCCCCAGCAAGAATGTCTGTTTTTCCTGCCATTCTTTGCTCCTGTGCAAAAGAAAAGGGTGTTTGTTTGCGCAAATAATACACAGAACTGACCTGCGCCTCCATGGACAGCTGTGAGTCCAAAATGACTCCCAGGCTGCGCACCTGGTCCTTCAGGGGCACAGTTGCCCCATTCAGGACCAGGGAGTCCCCCACACCTGCCCGTCCCCTGTTTCCCCAAAACAGTACAGTACTTCTGTCTGGTCAGGATTCATCCTCAATCTGTTAGCTGCCATCCACCCTTCAACCGCTTCCAGACGCACTGATCCTTTGTCAGCGACACTTTTGCGCTTTAATAGACTCGCAGAATTTCAGAGTTGGAGGAGAATCGCCAAGGTCCTCTAGTCCAACCCCCTGAAAAGCAAGGAACCTTTGCTTTCTCCCACTTACAGGGGGTGTCCCGGTCAACAAAAGGTCCCTGGACTTCCTCCTGAGTGGCCCCCCCGGGCACGCGGTGGCCATCGTGGTGGGGGGCGCGTCCGAGTCGCTGGACAGCGCCCCCGGAGAGCAGCTCGTCCGCCTTCAGGGGAGGAAGGGCTTCGTGCGCTTGGCGCTGCAACACGGGTAGGGGCACCGAGGGGGCAAGGGGGGGTCCGGGGGGGGCGTGTTGGGTGCAGGTCGGGCCTAGTGAGCATGGCAGTGCTTCCCGGTGGATTTTGCCCCAATGAAGCAAGTGCGAGAACAGAAGGTCCCTGCCCTTCCTTGCCGTATAATTTTTCATTACATCTTTCTTACGTTTTCACAGTAACCTTCCTAACAAATAATTCCACTGTTCCATAAGTTGGCTTCCCACTTACACCGTGTTTTTACTCAAACCTTTTCTACTGTGCTGTATCTTTATTTATTACAAAAAAAATAGTACAATTATTTTGTCATTTTTCTTCTGCTGCTTTTATCTCGAATCCTGTCCGCGATTTCATTTGACTGTAATGTTTTTTAAGTAATCCACAAATGGCCTCCACCCTTCTGTAAAAAGTTCATCATTCTGATCTCTTAATTTTGCTGTGAGCTTTGCTGTTTCTGCCTAGTCCATTTCCTTCAAAGGCCACTCCTCCTTCGCTTTCCCCCCAATTAATTAATTAATAGCCTATAAGAAAAGCTCCTGGTCTTTTGGGAATAGACCACTTAAACATTTTCTCCATTTCATTATATATCTTTCCCCAAAAGCCTTTCGCTTCCCTAGGTCTCCACCACATACGGAAGAGAGACCCATCTATCTATTTCTAGCATATACCGGTACTTGACACATTTTTATAAATCTTGGCCAGTTTATTTGGCATTACGGTAAATACCACCTGTACAGCATTTTAAGATAGTTTTCTCTTGGCGTGAATTCCATGCGCCAAGCTCCCTGCCTTCCCCCAGGCTAGCCTCCCTCGCGAGGTTCTGGGTTGGATTAAAGGCTCTCCCTGACGCGGCATTCCTTCTTCCTCCTCTTCCTCCTCGCAGCGCTGACTTGGTGCCCGTTTACACCTTCGGGGAGAACGACATTTACCGACAGATCCGGTTCCCTGAGGGCAGCTTCGCTCGCCGCTTCCAGCTCGGTTTCAAGCAGCTGATCGGCTTCGCCCCTTGTCTCTTCAGCGGGAGGGGCCTCTTCTCCAGCAGCTCCTGGGGGATCCAGCCCACGGCTGCCCCCCTCACGGTGGTGGGTAAGGACCCAGCAGGCTCCCCGTCCCTTCCTTAGCCTCCGCCTCCTGCCCCACAAACACCCCCGACTCACCAACTTGCTTGCAAAGAGCCACAAACTCTTCAGCATCGTATAAAACAGCAGGTTCTGGTGCATCTCCCTTTCGCCCCCTCCTAGAACTGAATCGGAGACCTGTGGAGTTGAATGGGACCCCCAAGGGTCATCTAGTCCAACCCCTCTGCAATGCAGAAATAAAACGAGCCGCCTCGTTTTATGGGGCTTGCTATAGAGGGAGCTGCGATTGCGTGTGTGCGTGCACACACACCCCGACTTCTCCCCTTCCTTGGAGGTTTCTAAGCAGAGGTTGGGTGGCCACAAATCAAGGGGTTGGGCTAAATGACCTTTGGGGTCCCCTCCATTCCTGCACTTAAGCCACCCCTGAAACCCAAGCCAGGGTGGAAAGCTGCTGGGGTGGGGAGGCCCTGGCTGCCATGGGTGGGGGCGAGGGGCAGAGCAGACCCCCCAACCGCCCATGCTTCTTCTCCTTCCTGCAGTGGGGAAGCCTATCCCGGTCCCGCTCCGCCCGCGCCCCACCGAGGACGAGGTGAACAGCTTCCACGCTCTCTACGTCGAGGCCCTGAAGGAGCTCTTTGACGCCCATAAAGAATCCTGCGGCCTCCCGGCCTCCCAGCAGCTCCTCATCACCTAGACTGAGGGACCCAGAGTTGACCCAAAGCAGCATCAGGGGACGCAAGGTTGTGATGGGGGGAGACACACGGGAGACTTTGTTCCTCCCATCCCCGTCTGTATACACCGTTTCCAATAAAAGGCGCCGTGCCTGATGTCTGATCTTGGGTCCTTGGTGCGCGAACCCCCTTTTTGTGCCTGCCTGCGGAGCCCAAGGCTGGTTGTCTCATTCACACGTGCATTATTAAGACGAGGTTTGCAGAGCGCGGCAGCAAGAGAAGCAGGCCGTGGTGCTGGCTTGAGGGGGCTGCCCACATGCCCTCCGGGTGAGCGGCCAGGAGCTCGCCTGCCTGCAAGAGAAAAGACCAATCGGACATGCAGGCCCAGCTCTTACTTTGAAAACGGGGGCCCTGCTCTTCTTCTTGTCGTTTAGTCCTTTAGTCGTGTCCGCCTCTTCGTGACCCCCTGGACCAGAGCACGCCAGGCCCTCCTGTCTTCCACTGCCGCCCGCAGTTTGGTCAAACTCATGCTGGTAGCTTCGAGAACACTGTCCCACCATCTCGTCCTCTGTCCTCCCCTTCTCCTTGTGCCCTCCATCTTTCCCAGCATCAGGGTCTTTTCCAGGGAGTCTTCTCCTCTCCTGAGGTGGCCAAAGTATTGGAGCCTCGGCTTCAGGATCTGTCCTTCCAGTGAGCACTCAGGGCTGATTTCCTTCAGAATGGAGAGGTTGGATCTCCTTGCAGTCCACGGGGCTCTCAAGAAGCCCTGCTCTTATGGGCCGGGAAAAAGAGGGAGGGGGAGCTGGGCTTGGGGATCAGTTTTCCCAAGGGGCTAGAGGACTCTTCTCTGACTGCAGGAGCAACTCAGGACATGACCGGGTCGGGGCGAGGCAGGGCAGGGGGTGCCAGGAGTCTCAGGCCAAAGGGGGGTGGGAGAGAGGGCCCGCGGTTCAGCATTCCCCTTTGCCCACCCGTAGACGTACACACATCCTGTGCCCTCTGTGCGTGCCCTGAGGCAACCCCCAGCTTGCACCCTGTTGTCGTGAAGAATAGCTTTGGTTCCTCGAGGAATGGAAATCTGGGTATTGCTGGTTGTAGTGAGCAAGTTATCCCCAGAGGTCCTCCTGCCGGTCAGAGAAATAAATACAAGCAAAAAGCGGATATTCAGCCCGATCGTCCTTTCATGGTTTCCAAGGTGACTTGAAATCTGGGTATCCCTGGTTGCAGTGCGCCCCGCGCGGGAGAAACCGGACATGTGCTCTGGCAGGTTACAGAGACCAGTGTTCCCCAAGCTGGCGCCCTCCGGAATTTTTGGACTACAACTCCCATCAGCGCCCCGCTCTGGCACTGGGAACAGGAACTGTGGTAGCCACAAAGGCTGGGGCAAGATTGGCAGAGGGCAATGGGGTCAGCACAAGGGGGGAGGTTGACCTGGGCCAAAACCCTGAGCTTCCATGGGGACACTGGGCTAATCATACACACTCAGCCAGCAGGAATGGTTTTGAATAGGCGTGCAAATTAATTTCTGCTGTTCTGAATTTCATCAGTCTTCCTTAGTGGGCCCCACACTCCGACTTAATGAAAGATGCTATTCTGTAGGGCAGGGGGCACGCGGGATTTGTTTGTGGAATCGAGTTTGGGAGATGCTAACTTTGACCTTCTTAAGCTCCCCGGAAGAGAGCCAGGGTGAAAAGAGACCGGGAATGAAATAACACGCCTTGTCTCCTTTCGGAGGAGAGCTCAGACAGGTACCCCTTGCCTCACCTGCCTGACAGCAGCCTCCTTATCGCAGACTCACCTGGGGACCAAAGTGCAGGCGGCAGAGGGAGACATCTGCGCTGGAGCCGCTGGCAGGACAACATTTTGTTCAGGGAACCTTTTAATGTTTAATAGGTTATTGTATTTTAATATTCTGTTGGAAGCCGCCCAGAGCGGCAGGGGAAACCCAGCCAGATGGGCGGGGTATAAATAAATTATTATTATTATTATTATTTATTTGAGACAAGTCACCCCAACTGCTGCTTCCCTCCCGAGGAGGGATGGGCTGAAGGGGAGCAGGTGGGCTTTGGGGCGCAGGTCAGAGGTCACTTGTGCTGGACACACCTGCAGGTGCAGCTCTTGGCTGGAGCCCCGTTGCAAAGACCCTGCTGCCCCCCCAACTCCCCCCACCCCAGGAGGCTGGTCAGGTAGGGAGGCGGCAGAGGCAGCCCCGCCCCAGGCAGGACAACATTGTCACTTGCGACAAGCGACGCTGTTTCCTTCTCCCTTTCCCTCCGCGCAGGGCTGACCTGGCGCCCCTTTACGCCTTCGGGGAGAACCACACTTACCCGCGTCTCCGCTTCCGCGACAGCAGCTTCGTCCGCAGACTCCAGGTCCGCTTCACCTTCTCCAGCTACTGCTGGTGGATCGTGGCCCATGGCGCCCCCATCACGGTGCTGGGCAAGGACCCGCCAGGCTCCCCATCCCTTCCTCAGCCTCCCGTCTGCCGCCCCGACTCACCCACCTGCCTGCAAAGAGCCGCAAACTCCAGCCTCGGGCAAAGCGGCAGCTTCGGGCGCGCCTCTCTCGCGCACGCTGCCTGCACCAAGCCCCCTGCAACGGAACGGGAGACCCGTGGAGTTGGAAGGGCCCCCCGAGGGTCATCTAGCCCAACCCCCCTGCGAGGCAGGAATCAAACGAGCCGCCTCGTTTTATGGGGCTTGCTATGGAGGGAGCTGCGACTGCACCCACAGACGGGTCCAGACAGAGGGGGGGGGGCATATGGGCCACTCGGCCCGGGCCTCCGATTCCAAAGGGGGCCTCGGTCACCATATTCACAATCGCTAGGAAAGCATTTTTAAATGTAAATACTTAAAATAATCCTTTTCCCTACGTATTTTTAAAAAGCACTATTGTATATCTATGTTTTCCATTTTGTCTTTATATGCAGATACGGTTCAAGCCTTGAAATAAAATTATTTGTCAGCATAACTTTTGTGAAAATTATTTATAGATTTACTTATTTACAAGACTTCAGTTATCCCCAGGGTAAAAAAAGGGGGGGCACATTATTTACCTGGCCCGGGCCTCTGCCTGGCTCTGCAAAGCCCTGCACACACACACACACACACACACACACACACACACACACCCCGACTTCCTTCTCCCCTTCCTTGGAGGTTTCTAAGCAGAGGTTGGTTGGCCATTAATCAAGGGGTTGGGCTAAATGACCCTTGGGGTCCCCTCCATTCCTGCACTTAGGCCACCCCTGAAACCCAAGCCAGGGTGCAAAGGCCGCTGAGGTGGGGGTGAGGTCTTGGGAGATGCAGGGGGTGCAATGGTTACAGCAGACCCCTCCAAACCACCCTCTTTCTCTCCCTCCTGCAGTGGGGAAGCCTATCCCGGTCCCGCTCCGCCCGCGCCCCACCGAGGACGAGGTGAACAGCTTCCACGCTCTCTACGTCCAGGCCCTGAAGGAGCTCTTTGACGCCCATAAAGAATCCTGCGGCCTCCCGGCCTCCCAGCAGCTCCTCATCACCTAGACGGACCCAGACTTGACCCGAAGCAGCATCAGGGGACACAAGGTTGTGATGGGGGGAGACACGCATCCCCAACTGCGCACACCATTTCCAATAATCAATCAATCAATCAATCAATCAGTCAATCAATCTCCTTAACTGGCATGCAGAGAGTACAAAAGTATATAAGTCAAAGCATAAAACTGGAGTCTGCTTATAAAACGATATTCTTTAAGATAAAACTAAGGCAATAAGGTTAAAAAGTGCCTCTCCGTTTATAGCGACGTAGTTCCACAGCATCTCTCAGAAATTCAGCTGCCTTTATACTTTCGCCTAAGGCTGCTCCGTAGAAAGGAAACCCCGGAGAAGTCAGAGCAATTTGACCTTTTCCCTTCTGCACGGGGTTTAGATATTTGCCGTGTGAAAGGCGCAGGGTAAGAAAGCACGTGGGACCCTGCATTCCACCTGCCTTTGTGCCACAACTAAAACGAAGCCTTTCCGGGTGTGGAGTTTGCGGGAATATTCCTTGCAGGGTCGCGGGTGGCGTGAGGTCAAGTCTTGCAAGGGAAAAAGCTCTGCGCTGGTGGGGACGTAAATATGGGTGGGCAACGGGGTGAGGGGTGTGCCAGGAGCCTCTGGCCGAAAGGGCATGGGGGAGCCGGACTGTGGCTCAGCATTCCCCTTTGGTCATCCGTGCGCGGCGTGTGCACTCTGTGCATGCCCCGAAGCAATCACCTTCCGAGTTTGCACCATAATAACAACAACAACAACAACAACAACAACAACAACTTATTTATAACCCACCCTCCCCTGCCAGAGCCAGGCTCAGGGTGGCTAACACCAGTAAAATTACAGTAAACGCATAATTGGGGCGGGGGGGGGGGGAACCAGTTTAAAATACAGCTTAAAATGCATTTTAAAATGCAGTCTCGTTTTAAAAGCAGCCCATAGATCAAAACCATAAGGGGAGGGAAACATAAGGGTCAGACTGAGTCCAAACCAAAGGCCAGGCGGAACAGCTCTGTCTTGCAGGCCCTGCGGAAAGATGTCAAGTCCCACAGGGCCCTGGTCTCTTGTGACAGAGCGTTCCACCAAGTCGGGGCCAGTACTGAAAAGGTCCTGGCCCTAGTTGAGACCAATCTAACCACCTTGTGACCTGGGACCTCCAAAATGTCATTTGTGGACCTTAGGTTCCTCTGCTGGGCATACTGGGAGAGGCGGTCCCGTAGGTACGAGGGTCCTAGGCCGTGAAGGGCTTTAAAGGTCAAAACCAGCACCTTAAATCTGACCCTGTACTTCACCAGGAGCCAGTGCAGCTGGAAAAGCACAGGGTGAATATGCTCGCATGGCAGAGACCCCGTGAGGAGCCTCGCTGCAGCATTCTGCACCCGCTGGAGTTTCTGGGACAGCTTCAAGGGCAGCCCCGCGTAGAGTGAATTACAGTAGTCAAGCCTGGAGATGACCGTCGCATGGATCACTGTGGCCAGGTCGGGGCGGGAAAGGTAAGGGACCAACTCTGGATGCGGCGAAGGTGGAAAAATGTCGCCTTGGCTGTTGCTGTAACCTGCGCCTCCATGGAAAGGGAAGCGTCGAAGGTTGCACCCAAACTCTTGCCTGAACAATTCCTTTGGTTCCGTGGCTGGGCCG